TAGAGCAGGTGCCCCTTGACTGTTGTACTACAAAGCCCTCAGAACTTTCTCAACCACTGTGTTCACCACACAATTTCCCCTTTACAGACTTTTGGGCCACTGGCCCAATGAAAACCTATTCTAGGTCCGCCAAGACCCCAGACCCACTCCCAAATTCACCTCTTCCACAAAATCATCCCAACTGGCCCCATCCACATATCATTGCTATGATAACTGTCTCCCCTACTTTATCCATCCCATCCTTGAATAAGTTAGTCAGCACTTGGGTCTGACTCCATACTGGATATGAGCCAACGGTGGACATAAAAAGTTCTAAAAACTTGGAAGCACTCCACTCACAAAACTGTAATGATGATGTGACACAATGGACCATCCCAGCCCTAGGCACTGGATTTGAAGTCTGAAGACCCGGGTTCAGATCCCTGCTCTACTTCTTCCTTGTGACTTAGGAGTGTTACTAAACTTGGAGGCTCAATTTACTCGTATGCAAAATGGGAATAATGCTGACAGCCTGGCAGGGCTATGGTAAAAAGGAGATGAGATCACTTGGTTGAACTACTTCACAAACTGTAAACCCAAATCAAGTGTAGTCTCCAGTGCCAACCAACCCCTGCATAACTCCACTACCCCCACCAGTAGTTTCTGTCCTTACTGAGTCAGGTGAAGAGCCAATGAAATCTATGGGTTCTCTTCCTAGAAAAATGCACATACATAACAGCTTTGCAAACACTTTCAGGAGGTTGCTGAGGACCCCGCCACAGGAAGGGAAAGCCAAAGACCAAACCCAAGTGCACTGGGAAGCCCCCAAGCCTACCACCTCCCGCAAATCTATGCCCTCAGCCCGATTCCTGGATGCCAAAGACGAAAGGTAGGGCAGGGAAGGGCAGTCTCAAAGGAAAGGAACCTCAAGACTAAGACGTGAATTCCAGAGCCTTTCTCAGAACCAGAGGAGAGCAGAGAAGAGGTAGGAGTCTCACTCTTTGGGAAGTAAGAACCCCATTTTTTTTCAGAAAGCATCACAGTATGGAAAAAGAAGATTGAACGAGGCATCAAAATCTGGACTTTCTTGTCCCACTCTGCCAAGGGCTCCCAGTGACTTTGGGCAAGTCATGTCACCTTCATTGGCCTCAGGGTCTTCACATGGAGATCAGCTCATGGGTAAGACCCTTCCCAGGTCTGGGTGCCTAGGATCTGGAGATGTATCTGTTTCCCTCCCTGTTCTGAACCACAGCTTTGGCCTGGGTTTAATTCAGAAATAAGAGGCAGATGTCGATAGCGTGGTGATAATTCAGGGAGGAGGCCACCATCACAGCACTGTTCTAAATTAAATTGTGTGCAGATTGAGGCAGGAGGGCAGAAGAGCAGAAGAGTAAAACCTGAATGTGAACAGCTGAGCTCAGGTGACTGAGTTGGCAGCGAGGCCGAGAGGTGGAGGATCCCCCCCAAAAGAACATCAAAAGAAGCTGCCACATTATCGGGTAAGCTATGTAGCAATGCCATCACATTTGGAAAATTCCCAACTGTGATTCGCCCGTCTGTTTGAACCTCCTGTTCTCTCTGTAGGCTTGGGACTCTCTCTCCATCCTACCTACCATCTCCTGCTTCCTCCTTCATCATCTGAACTGCAAACAATAGAACCTTAAAACCAGGGCAGTAGACCCCAAAACTGAGATGAAATTGGAGGACCATGTCAGGGACTCCAGAGTGAGTTTGGGAATGAACAGATAAAAAGCAGACCCACAGTAAAACATCCACACCGACCCGTAAGACAGAAACTACTAAACCCAGGAAGGGCCTGAGTGAGACCTTGATGGAAGCCACAGCCTATCACTGAAGATAGCCTACCACAGCCCATCATAGCCCCGCAGAGCTGGGGCAGGACCATGGAGAACAACTTGTCAGCTCCTCACTGCTCAGCAGAGTCATCCGCTGGTTGACTTCAGGGTTATTTCCCAGTAGCTGCCTAACTTCCCCAGGAGGACACACCTCCAGGCCCACCTGGGAGGGCACAAACAGCCTGAAGTCCAGGGTAACAAGGGACGGAAGGCTGTTCTTCCTCTGTTGCTCCCTCCTGCATTTGCCCTGGAAAGGAACTGGCATTAGGAGACCCTTCCGACTAACATGTGTGAAACTGACTAAGTCCCAGGGTGAGTGCTCTAAAGTATTTATGATCTGTTCTCTCCCATAGGCTGTGAATCATCTGCTTTATTGCATTATAACTTAGCTACCACTACTATACTATCTTTGTGTGCCCCAAACAGAGCAGAGTATCCAGCCTAAGGTAGGTGTTCAATAAACATGCTGGACTTAAAATCTTACATTTATCTCGGCAGCTGGAATGTGTTTTGGGCAGGTGGGGACTATGTGTTCAATTTTCTTTGCACACACTTCCAGATACAGAAACATGTAGGTGCTCAATAAATAGTTGTGAGTGAATGATTAGTTGACCAAACCTAATAACCTTCCAGGCTGTGTCTGAGGACCTTCCTGTACATGAACTCTGAAAAATACATCCAGCATGTAGGAGCTCTTTGCTCTTTTCAGGACTTCCCTACTCCTGGAGATACAGAGGGCAGGGAAGATAACCTGGGATGGTTTCTCAGGGATCTACCCTTTAAAATAATACCTAAAGAATAAACTGTGGATTCAGTAAGGACACTGAATCCATGAACACGCTCATATGAACACAGACAGGTGTTGCATAAACATGTATGCCATATGGATTTATTACACGCAGGTATGATTCTGATATGGTGGATGTATCAAAGCTGATAACCATTCACCTTTAGAAAATTATCAGATGAGCAATAATACCAGCAGTGCAGGCTTCTGTTCTTTAATGGCTATTCTCATTAGAACTGGTAGCAAATCAAAATTGTTTTGATGAAGAATAAATACCAGTATAATCGATCCCCTTACTCAGGCTCAGTACTTCCTGGGTTCCTGGGGTGCCAAGACATACTCTCAAAACAAAAACAAAAACACCCCACCACACGCACACTGGACATTATTTAAATTAAAAGCCACAGGCTGAGAAGAGAAATCTACAGGACCACAGAGGGGGGAAAGTAGCCCTTCCCCCTCTGAGAAGCCTTGGCACTTTTTTGAGTCTCAGTGTGCTTATCTGTAAAACGGGGTTAATACCCCGCTACCTCACAGGACCCTCTAAATAAACGTGATGATTCAAAGTGGGGGCAGGGGGTGGGTGAAACGCCCTGTAAAGTCTTACAAACATACTATTATTATTGAAATCTGTTCATCACCGATGACACTGTACCCCAGAATGCGTTACAAAATTACTGCCTACAAGCGTACATTACCCAGGACAGACACTTGACACACCAGAGATGATCTGTGTGTAAACCGAATCCTGGTCAAATACTCAAAGGGAGTTTCCTCAGGCAACCTGAGTGCGTCCTGAGGGACTGCACATCTAACGTTTGTTCGGTGCCTTCTGTTCCCATAGAATTGGGTTTTCTTGAAAGCCTGGCAATTTCCTCGCGCCGGCTGAGCAGGCTCGAAGCCGGGATTCCTGAGGTCTTCAGGCCAGACCCCGCGCTGGGCAGGAGGAACCGGGCCCGGACAGCCCGCGGCCCCTCCCCGCGCTCTGGGCGGCTCCTTCCTCTCTCCTCCAGCTCCGGCGGCGGCGGCGCTCGTGCTGTGTCACTTTCGCCCTCCCGAGACTCCAGCCGCCGCGGGGCCCGCAGCTCCACCGGCTTCCTCCCTTCGCGCGCCGGCCCCTAGCCTGGGAGATAATCCCCCGGCCGCACAGAGCCGGCGGCGAAGGCGGCGAAGGCGGCGAAGGCGTGCGGTCCGCAGCGCACCCGGGTAGCAGCGCGGGCGGCAGCGCCCGGACAGGCCGGGGCCCGGCGGGCCGGGCAGCCTGTGGCCCCCACGGTCTCCAGGACGAAGAGCTGGAAGGGGGTGCGCAGAGCGCGCGGGTCCTCTCCAGGGTCCGCGAGGCAGCGGCGGGCGCGCGGGCACGCGCACCCACAGAGCGCCTCGGAGCAAGGGTCAACCCGAGCCTGTCGGGAGGGTGGGGGGCGGCGACACGCGCGCACCCGCGGCCCCTCCCCGCCCGGCCAGACCTGCGCCCCGCGCCGCCGCGTAGGCTGCCAGCCCGCCGGGTCAGGGGGCATCGGGGACGCGGAGGGAGGCACGGCGGGTCTCCCGCGCCCCCGCGAGCCCGGAACTCCCTCGCCGACTCCGCGCACACGCAACTGCAGGGGCTCCCGGTCGCACAGCCGCAGGACCCCCAGTCCAAGTAACCCGGGCGCGCGCGCGCGCGGACACACACACATGACTAGGAGCCCAACGGGGACCGCGAGGGGGCTGGCGGGACGATTCACCGGGTAGTCGGGCCCACGCGCGTCCCCACTACGCCGCGGTCTGCCCCCCCCCCCCACGCCCCGCCCCCCCACACACGCCGGGGCGGTGTGTACACACACAAACAGCTGGGCGGGGGAGGCGACGCCTCGCTCCTCGGGGTGGGGACACACAGGCCTCCGGCAGCCAGCCCTCCCCTTTACAAGCCGCACCCCCTCCCTGCTCACACCGGCCCCCCCAACCCCAGCCCTGAAAACTCCACGAAACCCAAGAGCCAACGCCGACCAGAGGAGAGGTTCCGAACCCCGATTGTCTTTTCACATCAGTGTTAAGATACACCCAACTCACACCCGCGGTCGCCGGGACGCCTCCTCCAGACGCACCTGGGCTCGGGCTCGCGGTCCTCAGGGGCCGCAGACCTCCACCGCCGCAGACCGAACCACCACCCCCTGCCCTCCCTGCCCCCACGACCCGCGTCCAGGACAGTCACCTGCTCGTCGTCCCGAAGAGCCAGAGCAGGAGCCCACCCCGCGGCCGCTCGGGTCACTGGCCACCGCGAGCAGGCTTTTCAGAGCCTGTCAACTTAACCCCCGCTCCGCCGGGCGGGTCTATTCCCCAGGCCCAATTACACCGCGGCGACAGGAATAATAATAAAAAGCCAACAAAATCACCACCGTAAGGAATGTCCAAAGCTGCGACCGCAATGGCTCCACCGATTCGGATTCCTCCTCTGCTCCCATCCCCCGCGCCCCCCGCGGCCCGCGGGCTCACCGGGGACGGAGGGAGGGTGCCGCCTGTCTAGACGACAGACATCCCCGCGCTCGCGGGGACGGGCGCGCACACACTCTCGCACGGCCGCTGCTACAGACACAATCAGTCACCACAGGAGGGAGGGGCTGCGTGGAGACACTCTCTCGGGGTCCCTCCGGCAGCCGCCAGCGCAGCAGCCTCCGGCCGGGAGTCGCCACCCAGGGCCGCGCTCCCTACCTCGGCGGAGCGCGGTCAGAACAGCTGCAAGTTTGGCTGGTACTAAAGCAACTGCTTGATGCAGCAAATGCGGGCTTCAAAACAAAAGGGAGAGCGATCACGCTCGCTCTCTTCCTCCCCCCCGGCTCGGAACCCGGCACATGACAGCGGCTACACCGCGCGGCTCCGACGCGCGCCGGGCTCCAGCCGTGCGCCCCCGAGAGCCCCCTCTTCTCGGGAGCCCCAGGGCTACGGCTCCCCACTGGGCGGGGAGCCCTGCGGGGCAGCGGCGAACCTGGGGAGGGGTTGAGTTCGTGGAGTGCGGTCCGCGACCGAGAGGGGGTCGGAGGATGGGCGCGGACGCCCGGCGGCCGGGGGCGCAGGGAGGGGGAAGGGGGCTAATTGTTTGGGGCGGTTTTCTCGGATTTATCTATAAGCACGCGCACGTCACGCAGCCTCCCGGCGGGTCCCCGAATCGATCCGCAAGCTGAGCTGACTAAAAGAGGGGGGCGGGCGGGCGGGGGGATGCTCACCTCGGGGTTCCTCCGGCCGCCGCTCCGAGTCCGAGTCGGGGGTGGGGGAAGGGGGCAGGGAAGGGGAAGGGAGGGAGGAGGCTCGAGAGAGCCGACTCCTGCCTCGAGTTCCGCGCGTCCCGGCTGCGGAGGGGATCGGAGCCCCAGCGCACAAACCCAACCGAGAGGGGAGGGAGGGAGGGAAGGGAAAGAGGGAGGGAGGGGCGGGTGGGGGGGAGGGAGTAGAGGAAGGAAAAAAAAAAAAAAACGATCCCCGCTCTGACACAGGGAAAGAGAATGTAGGAGAGTGACGTCCCGGCCCCTCCCTCCCCTCCGGCCACGTGCAAAGACTTGAAAGGAAAGAGGGCGGCGGGAGGCCTGCTGGGTAATGTAGTTCGCCTTTCTTTCCCGGGATGGCGGGCCCTGGAGAGCGGCGCGCCGCCGGGACGCCGGGGATGCCGCCGACGCAGCGGAGACAGCCCAGGGTGGTCGCGCCGAAACCCGCCGGCCGACGCCCCCTCCCCGCGACCGTGGCTCGGCCCGGGGTGGGGAACCTCCGTGTTGAGAGAACTGGGGACTTAGGCGCGGTCCAGGCTTGCAGGGAAACGTTCGGTGTCAGGGGCAGGAAGGCTTTAAAGATGAGGACTTCCGTGCTGAAAGTGCAAAGTCTGTCCTAATGGCAGATAAAAGGAAGCTTTGTGTATGCACTGGGCAGTCCATGTGGCGTTATTAATGCTGCATTAAATGCTAACGTCTGTTATTGAGATGCATATGTTATAATTAACATTTGAACATCTCTGTGGCAGGGGCGGGATGTTGTAATTAGATATGCAGTTTACAACCAATTAATTTTCCATTGGCCATGCTAAGGGTTGGGACGGGGGACCTGGTGGCTGGGAGAATTCAGTGCAGTGGATAATTCAGTGATCACTTAACCGTATCACCAGTGTTTTCCAAGTACCTACTAAGTGCCAGGCACTGCGGTTCGGACAGAGAGGGCTTCATGAGAAATACACGATGCGGTACACCCCTCCAAGCAAGGGGCTTATATTATAAACTCATCTGAGGAACTGTATGACACAGTATAACTGCAGTGGAAATCCATTTATTAGCACGTATAACATTTGGTGAGCGCTTTCCACAGATGGGACACGTCTGGGAATGCCAAGACAAGTAAGACCCTTAGTTCTTCCTCTCCAGGAGTTCAAGGTCTAGTGTGAGGACCACAGTCAATGACAGTATAGGGAAAGAGGCAACACTTAACACAGGGATAAGCGGAAAGTTCCAGGGAGCCCTCAGCAGGAGCAGCCAACCAGAATGGATGGTGGCTGCGGGATGGAAGGCTTCCTGGAGGAGGTGGCACTTGACCTAAGAATCACTAAGATTTTTAACAAAGGCAAAGGAAGAGGTAGATTTCTGACTAAGGCTACAAAGGCTCCAGAAGAGAGAAGAGAAGAAAGCAAATTCCGAAAGTCCCAGCAGTTTGGCAAGGCAGACAGGGCAGATTGATTGGGGGGGTGGGGGGCAGGAACCTGGCAGAAGTTCAAGGGGCAAGAATGGAATGGTGGATCTGGAGGGCAGAAGGAGCCTGGGATGGCTTCTCACTGGAGGTGAGGCTTGAAGTAGTCCTTGAAAGGAGGGGTGGGATTTCGTTTTTAATGGAGAGCGTATCTTCCAGGCTTGAGGTTCAGCATGAGCTAAACTATGGAAGGAAAGCAAAGCACATCCACAGTGACACCTTGCAGAGCAGCTCATTTGATCCTTGTACCAAAGAGCATGGGGGTGTGTCATCCCCTTCCTTCTAGGAGAAGACAGCAGGTCCAGAGCAGAGGGGGTAGAGGAAGCCAACTGTCTGGGTGCCAGGTCTGGTTCGCTCCCCCACCAAAGGAACATGTGTAAGCATACCTGACTCTTCCTGCTGGTTTGTCCCTCTTAGCGCTTATGCCTCATTGGTTCAAGCAGTGTGTTATTTTTATGCTTTAACATCTGGATGATTTCCTAGGTTTACAAAATATGAAATAGTACTGGAGTCTATCCACTCAGCAAATTCCCATTGACCTACCTTTTGTTGTCAGTGCTGTTCTGCACGTTGTATGCTATGCATGCCACCTACAAGAGACAAGAATGCAATGGTCTGGGTCTTGGTTTTGCCTCTGCTTTAAATCACACCTCCAGAGGTGAGGAGAGGCTGAGCAATGTGCAGATTGCAAAACATCCGTGGAGAGTACACACCTCTGTTTGGGGAGTGTGCCTGGGGTGAGAGGGCCCGTGGGGATAGCGCAGACTCAAGAGTCCGCTTGACCCCAGGGTTTGAATCACAGGCATGGCGCTTCCAGGCTCCGTGACCTTGGACAGCTTCCTTAACCTCCCCATGGTGACCTTGGATAGTTTATTCAACCATTCTTGGCCTTGTGAGAACCCACGGTGATAATATCTTTGCACTGACTGCCACATAGCCAATGCTCTGTGACAGCAAATTCCTTTCCTCGGCCCAGGGTCTTTCTGGGCCAGGAGAAGGATCCCTGGATCTTTCTTTCTGCGGTGCGGCCAGGAAGATTCCTGGGGCGGTGGGTGTGTGTGTGTGTGACTCATCTTCATGTGTGAAATAGATTAGGTTCATCTTCAAGGAACCTTGGGTTCTAGTCCCCACCCACCACAGGCCCAGCTCTCCTAACCCTCACCTCCCCATCCTGCTGCCCAAGGACACCCATAGTGTGTCACCCCAACCTGGGCACCTCCTCTGGGCAGGGTGCTGGGCCCCCACATTGCTTCTCCCTGCCTATCAACGCTTGCCCTGCTCCCTAGGTCAACAGAGCCTGGCTCTCTGCTTTACCTCCAGTCTGATAAACCTTCCTTAAAGTAGGATAAGATAAGCCTTTTATTCGCTCCTCCAGCCCCTACATGTTTGTCTTCTTATCGAGAGCTCTCTGAAATGACCTCTGATGATGGGGATTCCAAGCTGGAGTGGGGGTCTCTGAGAGGGAGGCTCTGTGGGATCCTCAGACCAAAGTTTCCCAGAATGGGAGGCCCAGGGCTTACGTGGTCCTCATCTGGTGTCCTTCCTTCTCCGCTCTGTCGTGGATCTTATGCCTACCCTCTAGGCTTAGGTCCGAGCGACTGCTGGGTGCAGAGTTCATGAACTGGCACCAGAATGGGTTTAACTGTGGCAGATCTGAGTTGCCAAGAGTTGCCTTTGTTTGACTGGTCACCACATATCCTAGAAGTTGAAAATCAGAATGATTCTCTCTTTTAAGCAGCTGCTTTCCCTAATTCACGTGTGCCTAAGATACTAGCAAAAAGAAATATTCTCCTTTCTTCTCCTTCCTTCTCCTTCCGCCCGCCTTCCAGCTTTCCCTCTCTCAGTACATTTATTGAAGACCTGGTGGGAGCCCACCAGAGTGTGCGGTGGGGGTGAGAGGCTACCTGCCTTCAGGAGCTGAGGAGACTGATATTAGGGAAAATGACGAAGTGCCACACTGCGTGAGGGGGACGTGAAGTGAGCAAAGGCTTCCCAGTAGGCTGGCATGGTCAGAGAAGGCTTCTGGGAGGAAAGTGGGCCTGGCAGGGAGGAGGGCAGCGGTGGCCAGAATCCCTGTTATGTAGCACTGGCCTGGGAGATGTTGCAGAAGATGTGTCTTTAGGTAGAAACTGCAGTGGGTTCATCATGTGTCAGTCTGACGGCCACTGACCCCGCGTAAGGAGGGAAGTTCCCCGTCTAGCGTCTGCACTCTGTTACTGTGGTGTTGGCCTGGAGAGAGAACGGCTTGGTAGAGTCAGGTCATAGCTCACTCATGCCTCATCTCGGCTTCCACTACACAACCCCAAAGACCAACATCTGAAAGGCAGATGGAAAGTGATCCTCTACGGCTGAAGTTGGTGGTGGAGGAAGGGTAGCAACGGAGAACAATTGAGCTTGTAAAAGCACAAGCTAAATAAGAAGTAAAACAAGGGGTATTTATTGGGAACGTGCTATGCATCAGGCATTGCAAGGACCATGGGGGAACTAAGTGTGTGAAAGTTAGGTTCCAGGTCCCACATGACTCTATGCTGCCTAATGTGTGACATTTCCCCTCGCTGGGCCTAGTTTCCACACCTGTAAGATGGGACGGTTGGACTCTACAATCTCAGAGATTATTTCCAAACCTGAAGTTATCCCTTCAAGAAGCTCACAATCCAGCTGGTAAAAGTAGCTGTAAAATTAAGCAAAAGGATGAATTCATCCAAAAGGATGAATTTTAGGCTGTTTCATTCCAGCAGATCAGGAGGGGTTTGTAGTCCCCATTAAACAAAGCCCTAAAACCCATGAGGGAACATAAGACAAGTAGATCTTGTTTTGCAAGATTCAAGGATAGTAACTAAAGCCCATGAGTAATCAGGCATTCTTCAAGTCCCTCAGAGTTCAAGGTCAGACCTCATAGGTCAGGGGCATGAGCTCCTTATCCACATGATGGCCTTGTCCATGATGAGGACCTGGGCAAAGGG